AACTTGCTCAGGCTGGTCTCAAACTCCTAAGTTCAAATGTTCCTGCCTCCTCGGCCCCCCAGAGTGCTAGGATTATAGATATGAGCCACTGCACCTAGCCTGTATTGGCTTTTTTATTTGTATTATTTTTCATTGTTGTATTTCTTATTTTTTTAAAAAAATATTTTTAATCTGCAATTGATTAAAGTCAATTACTGCAAGGTAAGATTAACATCTTTATAATAGCGTAAAACATTAAATTAAAAAATCAACCCACAGTATGAATGCGTATCCTTGTTGACAGCAGGGAAGGTGTGTTGCCCTGGTCCGTGACTGTGGCTTTTGGAAGGTATTTAAAGAAGCTTTAACCCTACACATCCAAAAACTTCATCATCTGTTTTGGGCCTGCCCACTCCCCAAACTGGAAGCAAATTGTTCTTAATATGTAAGGGTAAGTTTTTATAGGTTAGCCTCAGAGCTTTTATTTTTTCCTAATTCACTTCTGAGAGCTCCTTGATTTGAGACAGGAGTGGGATGAAAATTCAATATTGTAAACAGATTCCCTTTCATTGATTGATAATCAGTAAATAGTTACTGAGCATATACTAAACACCTATTCTGTGTCTAGCAGTGCTCTTTGAAAACCCTAGGTGTGGGCTGGGATATTGTCTTTGAAAAACAATTACAAAAAAACTGTGGCTTTATGCTAAAAGGCTAATGTGTATCTTTAAAGGGTATTTGTAACTGGGAGAACCCAGGTCGAACAGGCTTTTCCTCACCCAGGTGGCTACACCAGGTGTGCAGTTGGCAGGATTAGCCACAGAAGTTTCCTCCCCTCCTTTACAATTCCTTATTGAAGTATATGCATCACAATCCAGAATGGGTCTCTCAGATCTTAGCTTGCAGCTCAGCCTCCAAGCTAATCACAGACATGGAGCTTTTCTGAGGAAACAGCACAACATAGGGGTGTAGCAAACACCAAACAGAAGCCAACTAACCCAGCTCTAATAGGCACACTCATCCATGGGACCCTCTTCAAAAAGGCCTTTTCTTAAGTGTTCATAATCAATGGAGGGATGGCCACTCCAGGGGCTGCCACGAGAATCCTGGAGATGACAGCTTATGTGACGCCTTGTTTTGTAGCATTTGCCGATTCTCCCAAGCATTTCCCATTTTCATCTGTGACAGGAATGCGAACTTTAAGTTCCCTTTGCCTCATCAATGGAATATTAATGCAATTAGCAGCAGCTACAGCAGCAAAGGGAACAGAATGTCCTATCAGTGGTGAGACATTAATTAATGCATTAGGTCCTAGAGCTGTTGCTACAGCACCAGTTGTAGAAATGTAAGCTGTTCTCAATTCATTTACAGTGAAGGGAACATCTCCATGTCTGTTGGTGTAATTGACAGCAGCATTGAAGGACTGGTTAATCCATTGCTAGAAAACATAGCTGGCATAGTCCTATAAAATGTCATCGTACAACCTGTGATAGTCATGTTCATTGGAACCCAAGCTGACATTCTTCCCATCAAAATCTTCTTTTCCCCAGTGTCGGGATGAAAAGCTGAATCCTATAAGACCTGTAGGAACAATTTCTTGCTTGTAATCATGTACTATTCTTGCATTCTCTAGTTGTTCATTTGTTAACAGAATATTCCTGGGGTCAGTTGCAGTGAAGAAACTGTAACTCATCCAACAAAAGTGCTTTGATCGCATCAAGGTTCCTTGACGTTAGTGTTTGGTGGCATTTTTCCAGACGTTGTCCTGGAAGTTTAAAAGGGTCTCCCTGGCTGCTGTGTGGAAAGCAGACAGTGGGGAGATAAGAGTGGAAGCAGGAAGAGCAATGCAAGGTTACTCCAGTAATGCAGGAGAGAGCTCATGGTAGCTCAGGCCAGAGTGGCAGCATGGAGGTGAAAAGAGGTGCTGAAGTTCTGGATATTCTGTTGATGGCACAAATAGGAGTTTGGACAGTGCTTGCCCTGGTCACCACCCACGCCACTTGCAAGTCCCACTCCTGCCACCACCACCACCACCACCACCACCACCGCCAATATATTTAATTTTTTGAGGAATTGCCAAACTGTTGTCCATAGCGGCTGACCATTTTACATTCCCACCAGCAATGTACAGTGGTTCCATTTTCTCCACATCCTTGCCAATTCTTATAATTTCAAGATATAAAAAATTATTTTTCGTTTTTAGTTGATACATAATAATGGTACATATTAATGGGATACTGATGGCCAGGCACAGTGGCTCATGCCTATAATCCTAGCACTCTGGGGGGCTGAGGTGGGAGCATCACTTGAGGCCAGGAGTTCGAGACCAGCCTGAGCAAAAGCGAGACCCTGTGTCTACAAAAAATAGAAAAAGTAGCCAAGCGTGGTGGCGTGTGCCTATAGTCCCAGCTATGTGCGAGGCTGAGGCAGGAGGATTGCTTGAGCCCAGGAGTTTGAGGTTGCAGTGAGCTATGATGATGTCACTGCACTGTAGCCCAGGCAACAGGGCAATATTCTGTCTCAAAAAATAAATAACTAAATAAATAATGAGATAGTGATATTGCAGTACACGTATACAATATGTAATGATCAGATGAGGGCAGTTAGCATATCTATCACTTCAAACATTTATAATTTTATTTGCATTGTGAACATTCAAAATCCTCTGTTCTAGCTTTTTGAAAATACACGCTAAATTATAGTTAAACATATTCACCCAGACAGTGCTATAGAACACTAGTACTTATTCCTCCCATCATTCTTTTTATAGCGATCCTAGTGAGTATGAAGTGGTAATCTCCTTGTGGTTTTGATTTGTATTTCCTTAACAGTGAATGATGTTGAGCATCATTTCCTGTGCTGCTTGGCCATTTGCGTATCTTCTTTGGAGAAATGTCTCTTCAAGTTTTTCACTCGTTTTTAAATTGGGTTGTCTTTTTGTATGTGAGTTCTAAGAGTCCTTTATATATTATGGATACTAGACTCTTATTAGATACATGTTTTGCAAATACTTCTCCCATTCTGTGTCTTTGCACTTTCTTCATAGTGTCCTTTGAAGCACAACAGTTTTTAGTTTTGATGATTTCTAATTATTTTTTCTTTGTTGATTGTACTTTTGTTGTCTTGTCTAACAAATGAATGCCAAGTCAAAGGTCACAAAGATTTATGTATGTTTTCTTCTAGGAGTTTAATAGCTTTATCTCTTACATTTAGGTCTTTGGTCCAATTTTTATATATTGTGTGAGGTAGCAGTCCAACTTCCTTCTACTGCATGTTAATATCCACTTGTCCCAGCCACATTTGTTGAAAAGACTATTCTTTTCTCATTGATTTGTTGTGGTACCCTTTTCAGAATTAAGTTGACAGTAAATGGGAGGGTTTATTTCTGATTCTCAGTTGATTTATATGTTTACCCTTACTCCAGTACTAGTTTTTCGTACTATTATTTTGTAGTATTAATAACTTTTGAAATTGGAAAGTATAAGTCCTCTAACTTTATTCTTTTTCAAGATCGTTTTGGTGATGTGGTTGTCAGTTTCTGCAAAGTCAGCTGGGATTCTGATAAAGATTGTGTAGACACTGTAGATCATTTTGGGGGAGCACTGCCACCTTAAAAATATTAAGTCTCCCAGTATGTGAACCTGGGATTTCTTTCCATTTATACAGATCTTCTTTAATGTCTCTCAATGTTTTGTAGTTTTCAGAGTAAAGTCTTTAACATAGGTACACATATATATGCATACAATACACACATGAACTCATATAAACACACATACATACATTCGTGCACACATGTAGAACTTGAATAGCCTAGCTCAGAGGAAAGTGTTATATAAGTGTTACTGTTAATACTATTGCCATTAATCTTTTATATGTCCTTAACACTTTGGGCGGAGGTGGATTAAAACAGGAAAATAGTTAACAAAAGTATTTAACATTTGTTTGCAGCCTTTTTCATACGAGAAAGCTTAAATTGCTTCCACTTTATCCTTTAGTAGAGATAACATGTAAAAAGTATCTGGGAGATTGTAAAGTGTAAATAAGCAGGAAACTACATGTATAATATCCCATTTTTGTCAAATCTGTATCTATTGCTTAATTTATATGCAAGGAAAAAATCAGAAGGAAATGCATCAAAAGATTAACTATTTATTTCTGGCTAGAAGTATTATGATGATTTAATTTTTTTTTCAATTTTTCCTGTATACATACATACATGAGAAAAGAATATTAATTAGAGTTACTGTTTTTAATAGTGTCATAAGTATGTAGAGATATTAGACAACTGATTTACTTTATTCCTCTGAGCCTTTTTACTTCATATAAAATGTGAATTATATTGTTTGTCTTGCCACTTTATAAGCACATTGTAGTAAAGTTACAGAGAGATTTAAAAAAATCCGTCTTTTGGAAATTGTGAAGCCCTGTGGAAACATATGAAGGAGCACACATTGCTGTTCAGAAATCATGAGAGATCATCTTTGTCCCTAGCTAAAGCTTAAATAACAGCTGTCAGGTAATTTTTAGGTTCATGGTGGTTTACTATCATTTTTTTTTTTTTGAGACAGAGTCTCACTCTGTTGCCCGGGCTAGAGTGCCGTGGCATCACCCTAGCTCACAGCAACCTCCAACTCCTGGGCTCAAGCGATCCTTCTGCCTCAGCCTCCCAAGTAGCTGGGACTACAGGCATGCGCCAGCATGCCCGGCTAATTTTTTCTGTATATTTTTTTTTAGTTGTCCGATTAATTTCTTTCTAATTTTAGTAGAGACGGGGTCTCGCTCTTGCTCAGGCTGGTCTCGAACTCCTGAGCTCAAACAGTCCACCTGCCTCAGCCTCCCAGAGTGCTAGGATTACAGGCGTGAGCCAGCGCGCCCAGCCGGTTTACTATCATTGATGGTCTACTTTTAAGATATTTTAAGGATTTAACGTTCATCTTCAGATTTTTAAAGTACTGTTCTACTAATTTATTTGGATTTAAAAACAGTGTCTAATTGCATTTTTCAAATCATTTTTCCACCAGGCATGGATGGGCAGAAGCCTTTGCAGGTATCAGAAGTTCACATATCAAATACATCTGCCCACATGCGTGAGTATTTCTCATCTTCAGGCTTGTGATTCAGAGTCTGGAGAGAAACGATTGTGATAGCTTTATCCTTACAGAAAAGTATTTGAATATAATAAATGTTTATCTTTTAAATATTCAGTTTAAGAATAAAGATTAGTAGGATTCCTGAAAACTAAAATGACTCTCGGTTATATTGAAATATTTTTTTTCTTTTTTGTTGAGAAATTTAAAATATTGCTCTCTTGGAGGTTAATTGAACTTAAAGCCAGAAAAATTATTTTGGATATACAAATATCTGTAAAGTTGAAAGGATATCTGTGGGATATCTCTGAAGGGAACTTACTGGTCAAATCTATGAGAAATCTTTTATGTTGAGAACGCTCTTGGATTTTATCACTTAGAGGCAATGTGATATACTATAGAAAAATCACAGGTTTTGGAGTCTGATAGATTTGATTTTGAATTCTGGCTCTGAAAATGTTTGTGGAGTCAAAAAGAAACTAGTGGCTGGGCGTAGTGGCTCATGCCAGTAATCCTAGCACTGTTGGAGGTTGAGGCAGGATGATTGCTTGAGGCCAGGAGTTTGAGACCAGCCTGAGCTAGAGCAAGACCTTGTCATTACAAAAAATAGAAAAATTAGCCAGGCGTCGTGGTGCACTATAGTCACACCTACTCAGATGGCTGAGACAGGAGCATTGTTTGAGCCCAGGAGTTGGAGGTTGCAGTGAGCTATGATGACACCACAGTGAGACTTTCTCTCAAAAAAAAAAAAAAAAAGGAGAGAAAGGAAAATATAGTAAGTTTTGAGCAAACTCAGAAAATCATTAAAATTAGCAAGTTTTAAGTCAAATGTTTGCTGACAAGCAGTAGTCATGGAGAAGACAGAGGGATTGGATACATGCTAGTAGGTTAGTAATTCATCCTCAGAAGTGATAGTAGCCTTAGAGTTGAGACAGATCATGAACATGAAAGAGGGAATGGGAAGAGGAAAATATTTCAGAAAATTAGATTCCTCCTTCTTTTTGTCCTGAAACAGAGGGTCTGTCTTACATCTGTAAGCTACAGCTGAAAGCTGTGGCTGGGGTTGCTGTGTCATCATCTATTAATAGTATTCTGATCAAGCAAGACACAGAATTCTTGATTATGTTGGAATTTCCACTGTATTGTTATTTGTCCCAAGATTGAATTGCTTTAAAGCTATTTCCCATCTGGGGAAGTTTGTATTCCTAAAGAAATTTTGAAACAGTTTTTTAACCTCTAAGGTAGATTTATTTCATGAATCGGAAGGATAGTTGTAAGATGTAGCTACAGTGTATTTATTTTTCTTTCCTTTTTACCTAGCTAAATTCAGATTATTCAGCATATTTTTCATCACAGATTTGAATTGGGTATAATGGACACTTAGGCAAATTTTGTATTTCCCTTATTTATTTAGAGGTCTCTTAATCAAGCAGGTATGTAGCTGAGAACTAGAAAATAAGCAAAAATGTAATCTGAGCACATGGGAGATGATGCTACAGTATTTGTGCAATAAAGTGTTCATTGCCCTTAGCTCCTTTCCAGAGTTTCATATTTTATACATTTCCAGTTGTCTTAGTTCCTGGTTTCCCTTCTCATGTCTGAGAAGTTAAAAGTATTATTAAGTAAGGGTGTTGAGAAAGGGAACATTTTTTATCATGCTTAGTCCTTTGCTGCTGCTGCTGCTGTCTTTAGAACACGTTTGGAGGGAATGGAGAACAGCGTTCATACGTTAAGATTGTGGCATACAGTTTTGTGTGGGTTTCAATCCGTTTTTGATTGATGGGATTTTTCAGTCTTTATGCTTTGCTATTCTTATTTTGCTGTTTTCTCTTTCTCATGTAGGCCAGTTAGGCCTGTTACATTAAATATGAACATGGCTATGCCTACTTGGTAAGTAAAAATTTCCTTTTTCAATAAGAACTTTATGTTACTTAATCTTTTATCAGAAGTTCTTTTATTGTATAGCAGCTTTTTAGTTATTTTTAAATTGTAAAGTTACATAATTAACTTTAACTTTTACTTATTTTTTATACTTTAGATTTGAGAGTAAATTTGAGGAGCTGTACACAGAGTTAGAGAAATAGGGGAGAATGAGTGAATAGAAATAATACGGGAAAATATCTCCACTGCTTGATAAACCTATGTTGATTTCGGTGACCAGACGTTTAAATGCTCCCCTGTTGCATACACTCCTGTTAAGCCACAGCCTCTTCACCCTTCCAGTTTCTTGCTTTCCTGGAGAGCTGGCTAGTTTTTAAGGAAACCCTTTCCCTTTCAGCCCCCTGGAGATATTCTCACATTCCCTGTGTACTTTATGGTTAGGAAATAGAGTCAGTTTTGCAGACTGTGACTTCTCCCTCTGCTCTCTCAGATCCCTGCCATTAGGCCTCTTAAAAAATGATGACGTTGACACCTGACTGATATTTTCCTTTCCACTCAAGCTCCTGCCACTATTTTATCTTTTGGGTGACTGCAGGATCCAGTGTAAATGGCTCTTTCACAACCCTGACTGGCTTGTTACTTCCTTGACCTCTTGTCTTCCCCAGGAACCAGGGCCTTTTTCTTCTCTCAACTTGAGGCATCCACAGCCATGTCTTGGGCTTTGTCATCTGGAACTGCCCCACTTCTGAAGTCACTTAATTCAAACTTACTAAGCATAACAGTTGTTCACCCTTTGAGTTTGCTTCCCTATTCCTACCCTGTTAGTTCTTAGATCTCATTAGAGCCTCCACTCTTTTGTCCTCTTTTTCCTTCTACTTTTCCCATCCATCCCTAACCCCATGCACTTTCCTTTTTACCCACTTTAGATTCCTTGGCAGTTTTTACAGGTTTCCACCCATCTTGGCTTTTGGTTCTTTCGTCTTCCCTAGCTGTAAAAATCTTTATCCTAGAACCAGAATTTCTCCCTGATACTGCCAGAGACCATAATGTAAGCATATAACCTGATAGAGAGTTAGAAAGGGCCGAAGGAAGACTTCCCTTGGTTTCTGGACCGAGGTATCTACAATGCATGATGAAAATGTTTTTCAGAATATGGATAAAGCTAAGTTTAAATGCCTGTGTTCACTAGGCATGAGGGTAGTACATGCAAGAGTGACACGACAAAGAAAAGTAACTATTCCACTGGATTGGCTTCAGATGCAATAGAAGAAATGAATGGCTGGAATTTATTACAAACTTTTCGGGATTGTGGGCTGAGATTCCTGCTGGGGTGTAAGACTGGACTAGGTAACTTCCTAGGTTCTTACCCTGAAATTATTTGGCACTGTGACTTTTTAACATAGAATCTGTGTTAGTTGGAGTGAAAGGAGCATACAGAATGTCAGGTCACATATTTAAGTTAATTGTTTGGCTTCTGTAGGCAGTTTAATTTGAGTTCCATGTTCTAGAGAGTAACTCATTAGCTGCCCTTTTTATCCAAACTACCATGAATTTAGTAAAATATACTTACCAAGAATAGATTTTCTTAGAATCCAATGGTCCTTTTAAGATTTTACCTTATTTTCCAGGTTTGATATTATTGGGCTTTCACCAGATTCACAGGAGGATGAACCTGGAATTAAACATGCAGCAGAATGTAGTAAGTACAGAAAAGTCCTATAAAGACAAAGCATTCTTAAATGTTTTTAGTAGATTCAGCGGTCATATTGATATTGATTAAATATTGCACATTTATCTGATCTCAGGAGGTACTGCTGGCTCCTTCCTTTCTGATCACACTCTAACTTGTCTGCCACGATGTCCACATCTCACTTGACTGTGGTTGGTGGAGATGAGGTAGATGGGGACCAAGCTTCACCTCTGTCAGATGCATGATAATTTTGCTTTGGACTGGCATGGTGGCTCACGCCTGTAATCCTAACAGTCTGAGAGGCTGAGGTAGGAGGATCTCTTGAGCTCAGCAGTTTGAGACCAGCCTGAGCCCCGAGAAAGAGCAAGACCCCGTCTCTACTAAAAATAGAAAAAATTAGCCAGGGTGGTGGCACGTGCCTGTAGTCCCAGCTACTCAGGACGCTGAGGCAGGAGGATCGCTTGAGCCCAGGAGTTTGATGTTGCTGTGAGCTAGGCTGACGCCACGGCACTCTAGCCTGGGTGACAGAGTGAGACTCTGTCTCAAAAAAAAAGAGAGAAAGAAAGAAAAATTGCTTTCATTTACATAGGCAAGTGGAGAAAACAGCAAAATGTTTAATAGTTGTGGCCAGTGTCTTTTTTAAGAAGACTTGACATAACAATGAAAATAATGATATAATGATAATAAACAATGAAAATGTTATTAATGAATGGTTAGTTTTAGTGTCATAATAATAATAGATACCACCGATTGAGCACTTAGCTGTTTACAAGCTAGGTGTTTCTTATAAATCACCCCATCTAACAGCCCCATCAAGTGTTAGCTCTGCTTTGCAGAATCTGCAAAGCCTGATCTGTGGTTAGTAGTTCCTTCTCCTTTATGAACATGGTAATGCCATTTGTTTTGTGCGTGAAAACATAACACTAACTTAGAGCCAGGCATGGTGGCACGTGCCTGTAGTCCCAGCTGCTTGGGAGTCTGAGGCAGGAGGGTTACCCAGGAGTTCAGGTCCAGCCTGGACAACATAGTAAGACCTGGTCTCTTAAAAAAACAAATTGTCAGAAAAAAATTTAAAAAAACAAAGAACAGCAATTTACTGGGAGATATATAGTTTTTAAAAATGCACTGAAGCATCCTTTTCTTTTGCATGTATGTACCGAAGTATTTACAAATAGAACAATGTGATGGCTGGGGTTACCTTGAGAATAATCTGGGTGTTGACTCCTGGCTGTGGGCGGGCACTGGGGAAACAGGCCTGGCTGTGAATTGATAATTGTGGAATTGAGGTAATGTGTACATGGGAGTCACTACGTGGCTCTTTCTACTTTTATATTTGTTTGAAATTTGCTAAAATACATTAAAACCCAAAAACAGCGAGATCCTTTTAATCTGTCTTTTAAAAAAACTATTAAAATCTTTGAAACAGGGAAAATACATACAAAAGATATTGGATATTTAGGAATGTCGAACTAAGAACACTGACCTCTTGGATTATCAAAAAGTAGATCAAAGCCAGAATCCTACAGCTAGGATTTTGTCTAAAAATAATAGATGACAGAAATAATAGCATGGCAGTGAGTGTTTGACCCCGTGGAAGACAGGGAGGGGAGGGCCCTGTGGAGAAGACAGGCAGGCCTGGGGAGCCCCAGAGTGGAATAGTCTGTCCTCACCATAGAGTTGGCCTATGAAATGCTTATTTCTTTCCTCTCTGAAGTGATGGATTATTGGGGAGAATTAGGGTCAGACTCAGAGTGGAAAGAGGACCGAGAGAATATGCTGCTGAACACAGGCGAGCGTGCTCAGGTTGGGTTGTCAGGAGTGCGTGTTGCCCTTGACCGGAGGTAGAAGGTGACTGGAATTAGAACCCACTACTCCACGATTGGCTGCTGTCGTTGTAGTTTGTGAAGATACCTTTAGCTTAGCCAGTTGGTTAACCGTGGAGAGTAATCTTTGTGAAACTGAGGGCGGATAGGCTCCCTGGCCGGCAGCTGATGCTCCCCAGGCCCCATCACAGCCACCCTCCTCCTCTCCCTTGCAGAGCTGGGCTGTTTCTGCTCCTTCTGCGACTTCTGTCCAGCCAGGGCTGTGCTGTCTCCCCTAAATAAACGCCTTATACTTCTCCTCAACAGTTCTTTAATTTCTTAAGTCTCCTTTACTGATTTCTAACTCGCTGTCCCATGCCCTAGTTAAAGGACCCCTTGCTTTTCATACTGGTTTAACTAAGAACTAAACTTTGCATAAAACAAAAATAACTTTAATTTGGGCATTTGATTTTTTGTAGCGTTTTAATAAAAACAGGTTTTTGGTTTTTTGATCAAAAAAGGAAATATAAATTTTAATCTTAAAAATGAAACTCTGCATATATGTAAAAAAATTAAAGGAGATAAATTTGTAAAAGGCACATTTATTCCAAAAACACAGGACTGATTATAAAGAAAAAGGAAATTCTAGGAGTTATCAAATATTTATATGACGCGTGTCAAAATATTTTGTAGAAACAAAAGTACTAATTTGAAATTTTTCCCCATCATTTATTAGCTATAGAAAAAATTAATGTTGTGATTTTTTAAATAGAATAAACAGTTTTAAACACTTAACTACATATAATTTTAAAATGACAACTTTTAGGTGCTGCAAATGCCTGTTGTCCCATAGATGAGCCAAAGGTGGATAATAAGTGTATATTTTTAAAAATCTATCTCTTGATGAGAGAAAGAATACAAAGTATTTGACAGGAAATTTTGAAGTTTTAGTTTAAGCAACACCTGCAAAATCTGAGAAATTCGATAATGCAAATACATTCTAATTTTGTATTGTAGTGGAGTGCTTCAAGTGTTTGGCTCATTTCTACCCTAAATATTGTTTGTGCTTTTCTATTATTAATTTTTTCTTTCTGTAAATTGTATCAGTGGGCTTAACTTTGAAAGTATTACTGATTAACTTTCATGTTGTTTTTAGTAAAGGCTTTGATAGATCAAGAGGTGAAGAATGGCATTCCTTCTAACAGAATTATTTTGGGAGGATTTTCTCAGGTAAGATAAAGTTCGGGTGGTATGTCAGTACCATCAGTATATTTAGAAGTCTGTGGTTTCAGTGCTCTTTCTAAGGAGTTTTCCATAGAAAATGGAAGATGTTATAAGATCTTGACTGTTACACTTACCTTTAAATGCTGGATTACATTTGAGTGGACTGGAACTAAGTAATTGCTACTTTACACACTCTTAACGCTTTTGCTATTTTCTGTTTTTTCAGCAGTAGCCTGAATGTAAATACATTCCAGGTTGCCGGAATGTATTTTCTCAAAATAATCGTAACACACATGTAATTAGGTTTCTAAGTTAACGTATTTTCAGTTAAGCAGAATTCTATTAACACAGGCATAAGTCCCCTGTTCTAGGAGGAAACTACTGATAGGAACGGAAAGGTAGAAGACAAGAGTGTGTGTTCCCGTCTTTGTCATGTAAAATAGGTTTTAGATATAAATGTGTCATGTTTATTTTTGGTATCTGTTTGCCTGTCTGTACTTTTTCTCCTTCCTTCTGTCCTTTCTCCACAGACACGACTTCTTCACAATTACCTTCTCTCTGTACTGCAGCATATCATGTTTGCTATGGACCTATCTCCAGAATGCTCTAGTTCCTAATCCGTAAATCTTCTAAATCAACTACTTTGTGTTCAGACCACCTTCATTAGGGAAATGTCAGAATTCTGGGATCATTTAGAAAACAGAATTCAATGGGAAGATATGTTGTTGATACAGTGCAGTAAACAAAGGTGTTATTGAGTTGGTGTTTGTTGAAATTTACAGGTAATGTACATTGTAATACACACTGTGAGGTAAACATAGGGACAAAAATGTAATGATTGATTCAAAATAGGAAGGGCCTATAGGAGTCTATATATTTGATATTCATTTATTATAGCATACGAAACCAACTCCTAATACCTTATGCAAAAAGGATTAAGCTGTCTAGGGCATCATGTCAAGGAAAATGAGGATGAAAATGAAGCAAGGCTAGGGCTAGGGCTAGCTGGCAGGACTAGCTAGGGCTTGGAAAGCTGGCAGGACTGTCTTTCTAGCTTTTGTCTCTGTTTCTCTGCCTTGGTTGCCTCTCCATCAACGGTTGGTCACCTCGGCTATTGCAGCCTATAGGTTTTCCATCTCGTGAGTTTACATGTTACAGGTCCAGCCACACAAAAAGACTGGCAGTCACTGAATCCCAGTTCCACATCCTGGGAGAAAGAACATCACTGTCTGGGGTGAGAAAGAATCTCATGTACCCACGTGGTGCAGTGACCCATGGGTACAGTCAGAGTGACGGGGTGTCTGGATGGCTGGCAGGAGTGTAGCTCCCAGAACGCAGGGTGTTGTGAGCTGGGAAGGCAGATGCTCTACAGGTATCTGCTACTTAGTCCTCATTATCTTGAATTCCTGTATTAGAAAATAATACCAATTTAAGATGATGTTGGATTTTAGGCCTAAAACTTTGCAGAAGAGCAAATAACTATAAACTCAGAATATTCCTAAGGCACATTGTAAATGCAAGAGTTTACTGTGCTGTGAACTGTGTATGTCTCTACCAATGGGGGATCGGTAGGTATGTCCTCTTTGGTATAAAGAACCATGTCCTTAAGGACACAGTGGTGCGTGTATGTATTTCTGCTACTTGCCCTGCTTTGGCTTTCATCAGCCACTGAGTTTGATTTTTTTTTTAAGTGGATATCGTTAATAACAAGAAACCTCATAACTTGCTGTTGTGTGTGTTCCACTGACTTTCCCTGCTTGTCTTTTCAGGGAGGAGCTTTGTCTTTATATACCGCTCTTACCACCCAGCAGAAACTGGCAGGTGTCACCGCACTCAGCTGCTGGCTTCCACTTCGGGCTTCGTTTCAGGTAGCCTGCTTGATGCATGTAACGTGAGAATGCTGAGCTAAGAGGTAGCAGATAATGTTGGCAAGAGGGTCATCCTTTTTTTAAAATTAATAAACTTTATTTTTTAGAGCGGCTTTATTGTCACAGCAATATTGAGCAGAAAATACAGAGCTCCCATATACTCCTGTCCCCACACAGGGACAGCCTCCCCACTTTGGACATCCCCCAGCCCAGTAGCACCTTGGTGAACCTACACTGACACATCATAACCACCCAAAGTTCATAGTTTTTACATCGGTCATCCTTTTTTAAAAAGAATTTCCTTAGGTGTTTTTTGGGATAGAATCTTGCTGTGTTGCCTGGGCTAGAGTGCAGTGGCATCATCATAGCTCACTTTAACCTCAAATTCCCGGCCTCAAGCGATCCTCCCGCCTCAGCCTCCCAAGGTGCTAGGCTTACAGGCGTGTCCTTAGACTTTTGTGATGTATTACTAGGTTTTGTCTATGCACTATTCTCTTTATTGTGGTTCACACAGTATGGAATAAGAAATAAGCCTTACTGTCATAAATCTTACGTTTGCAGGGTTTGATACATTTTAGGATAGATAAGAAAATTAGGACTATTTTTTTCTTCTTTTTTAATTTAATTTTATTTTTATTTCACAGTATCATGGGGGTATAGATGTTTTGGTTGCATAAATTGCTTTTGTACAATTTGAGTCAAAGTTATAAGTGTGCCCGTCACTCAGACAGGTGCATTGTACCCGTTAGTTGTGAATTTACCCATCCCCACCTCTGCCCCCGCTTGACTTCCAGTGAATGTTATTTCCATACGTACACATAAGTGTTGTTTGATTAGTTCCGATTTAATGGTGAGTACAGTGGTGTTTGTTTTTCCATTCTTGTGATACTTCACTTAGAAGAATGATCTCCAGTTCCATCTGGGTTAATACAAGAGGGGTTAGTTCACCATTTTTTTTTTATGGCTGAGTAGTACTCCATGGTATATATATACCACATTTTATTAATCCACTCACGTATTGATGGGCACTGGGGTTGTTTCCACATCTTTGCAATTACGAACGGGTACAGATGTCTTTTTTATAAAATGTCCTTTTTTCCTATGGGTAAATACCCAGTAGTGGGATTGCTGGATCAAATGGTAGGTATACTTTTAGTTCTTTGAGGTATCTCCATACTACTTCCATAGAGGTTGTACAGTCCCACCAGCAGTGTAAGAGTGTTCCTGTCCCTCCGCATACACACCAGCATTTGCTGTTTTGGAATTTTTTTTTTTTTTTGAGACAGAGTCTCATTTTGTTGCCCCAGGCTAGAGTGAGTGCCGTGGCGTCAGCCTAGCTCACAGCAACCTCAAGCTCCTGGGCTCAAGCAATCCTTCTGCCTCAGCCTCCCGAGTAGCTAGGACTACAGGCATGCGCCACCATGCCCAGCTAATTTTTTCTATATATATATTTTTAGTTGTCCAGATCATTTCTTTCTATTTTTTAGTAGAGATGGGGTCTCGCTCTTGCTCAGGCTGGTCTCGAACTCCTGACCTTGAGCCATCCACCTGCCTCGGCCTCCCAGAGTGGTAGGATTACAAGCGTGAGCCACCACACCCAGCCTGTTTTGGGATTTTTTGATAAAAGCCATTCTCACTGGAGTTAGGTGATATCTCATGGTGGTTTGATTTGCATTTCCCTGATGATTTAGAAACACTGAGCATTTTTTCATGTTTCTTGGCCATTAGTCTGTCTTCTTTACTTATTTTTTTTTTTGTAGTGATAGAGACGAGGTCTCACTGTGCTCAGGCTGGTGTCGAACCGCTGAGCTGCAGCTATCCTCCCGCCTCGGCCTCCCAGGAAGCTAGGACTACAGACGTGCACCACCGTGCCCAGCCTAGACCCCGTGTCTTATCACTACAAAAAAATTCACACAAAACCAACAAAACACAGCCAAGCACTCTGGCAAGTGCCTGTAGTCCCAGCCACCAGGGAGGCTGAGGCAGAAGGATCGCTCACAGCCCAGGACCTGGAGCTTGCGGTGACCCACCCTCACTGCACTCTACCCAGGACACTGAGTGACACTCCAAAAAGTTTCTGTCATGTCTTTTGCCCACTTTTTAATGGGGTTGTTGGTTTTTTTCTTGCTGATTTACTCCTGAGTTCTTTGTAGATTCTGGTTATCAGCCCTTTATCGGATGTGTAGCATGCAAATATTTTCTCCCATTCTGTAGGTTTTCTATTCGCTCCATTGATTGTTTCCTTGACTGTGCAGAAGCCTTTTAATTTGATCAGGTCCCATTTATTTATTTTTGTTGTGTCATGATTGCTTTTGGGGTCTTCTTCATAAATTCTTTGCCTAGGCCGATGTCTATGAGTTTTTCCAACATCTTCTAGAATTTTTATTTTTAACACAGAAATAATTTAGGCCAGGTGTGTTGGCTCATGCCTATAATCCCAGCACTTTTGGAGGCCAAGGTGGTAGGACCACTTGAGGCTAGGAGTTTGAGACCAACCCGAGCAACACAGTGAGACTCCTGATCTCTACAAAAAAATTAACAACAACAAAAAAAAACTAGCCAGACGCAGTGGTGGGCACATGTAGTCCTACCTACTTGGAAGGCTAAGGCTGGAGGATCACTTGAGCGTAGGAGTTTGAGGTTCTAGTGAGCCATGGTGACGCCACTGCACTGTAGCTCAGGCAACAGAGCAAGACCCTCTCTCATAAATGAATGAATGAATGCCTGGCACTATGCTCTATACATTTGAATAAATAATACTATTTTTTATGTTGTTTTTTGCAGGGTCCTATCAGTGGCGCTAACAGAGATATTTCTATTCTCCAGTGCCATGGAGATAGCGACCCTTTAGTTCCCGTGACGTTTGGTTCTCTTACTGCTGAAAAACTAAAAACATTGGTAAATCCAGCTAATGTAACCTTTAAAACCTATGAAGGCATGATGCACAATTCATCTCATCAGGTACGTGTGTGAAAGCACTGATCACAGCCATAGTTGTAGCTTCTTTCATGTGATACGTTCAAGATAAATAACATTTGACTGCTTGGGGATTTAGAGTAGTTAATTAATGAATTCATACTGAATCATAGGTTAGCAGGTCATTAGGTAAAAGTTTATTCTATTTAATTTAAATATCTACTGATTGCCTGTTACAGATAAGCACTGTACGTAATTCAAAGATTTTGAATTACATTCCCTTTTGTTAACTTTAAGATAAATTAATTAAAATGTAATAGGGGGAGAAAGATGTATATCCAGGTAACTGTATGGAAATCAGAATGTGATATATATTAGAAGTTTTCAAAAAGTGCCCTGTAAAACTGAGAAGAGTGAGATTAATTTTATCACTGAGATCATGATGAAAGAGCTAGATTTTGAAGGATGGTAGGATTTGGACAGCAAGTGTACAGGGAAAGAACTGTTAGACAGGAAAGCAAGCTGTCCAGTTTGCCTCAAGTCGAAGGAAAAGCCGAGTGTCACGGGACAGAAGACATAGGGAGCAGAGACTCGATCGTAGAGAGCTTTTATGTCATGCTGATGAGGCCTTGTTCTCTAGACAGCAGGAAGCCATTGATTTTTTTTGATCCAAGTGATATGTGGTCTACTGTATATTCTGGAGACAGGTGAGGCAGAATTGAGTAGGATTTGGAGATTAATTCTATGGGGGCAGGAAAGAAGGAAGTATCAAAATGGCCTCAGATTTCTAGCTCAGATGACTAAGAAGATGCTATCAGGAAGTAGGTACAAGGAATGGTTTTCGAGTAAAGAAAGGAGATAATACTGAGTTTAGTGATGTATTGAGATCAACATACCCCCATGATATCAAAATAGGATGTTGGAAATACTTGTCTGAAGCTTAAGCCTGTAAAAGGAGATTTGGAATAATTACTAATACTGTTATCAGTGAAGAACTATCTTAGCGCAGGAGGCTGAAGCGGGAAGATCACTTGAGCCTGGGAGTTTGAATCCAGCCTGGGCAACATAGCGGGACTTTGTCTCTAAAAAATAAAATACTGCCTTGGGAGAACATCATGAGAAAAAAAACTGAGGGATAGAACTTTGGGGATGCATTAAGATTTAGGCTAAGAAGGTATTGAGAGTATGGGAGGAGAGAATTTCAGAGTGGGAAGGAACAATGTCATGTGTTTCAGAGAAGGATTAAGGAGAAATAGGCCAGGAAGAAACTGTCTAATATTAAGCCACCCATGACCTTGATGTTTGGGGAGGTAGTGCCAAACTGTCATGGGCTGTGAAGTGGATAGGGAAAGGAAGAAGTAGAGGCAGCGTGTATAGACCTTTTGAAAGGATTTTGATAAAGTGGGAGAAGAGTAGGAAGTCCCTTTAAAAAAATTTATTTTTTTATTTAATGATGGTATTATGAATTGAATTTTGCCTATTCCCCAAGAACAGGTATGTTGAAATATTAATGCCCAGTATCTCACAAAGTGACTTTATTTAGAAATAAGGTCATTGCAGAAGGAATTAGTTAAGATGAGGTCATACTGGAGTAAGGCGAGCCCCTAATCCAATATGACTTGTGTCCTTAGAAGAACATGACTACGTGAAGGCAGAGACACAGGGAGAACACCATGAGACACCAAAGCAGAGATGGAAATTCCGTATCTGCAAGCCAAGGAGCACCAAAGATCTCCAGCAAAGCACCAGAGCTAGGAAGAAGCAATCCAGAACTGTGAGATAAGATTCTATTGTTTAAGTCACCCAGTTTGTGATACTTTGTTATGGCAGCCCTGGAAAATTATTATAATACACTTGGGGATACTCAGGATATTTAAATGTTGTTGGGAATGGGTCACTAGGAAGGGAGATAATGAAAGTAGAAGAAAGAGAGTCTATTAGTGGATTATGTTCTTGAAGGAGGAGATAGGAAACACTACCTCAGAGATACGGCCCTAGAAGGAAAGACATTTCTAGAATTGTAGTGAGAGGAAACAAGGAAGGTAAGGTAGTTTCTAGTTATGATTCACATTTTCTCTAAAACTTATGAAGTACAATCATCATCTGATGATGAGCTGGGCCCTGGTGTCATAGGAGATTTGAGAGAATGGAGAATATTTGAAATGGTCTCTGCAGAGAATAAGAGAGAAAGCTGAGGATCTACAAGATTGCCAGTCACCAGATTCAGAAAGAGCATTAATAAATGAATACATTTGCAGTTTGATTTGATATAGAGGTATTTTAAAACTTTTATCCTTATTTTATCTATCCTACTTTGAAAAAAAAATTTGGTAATAAACATTTTGAGTATTATAATTTGAAACCAATAATAGATATTCATATATTTTGTTGCCCCCTCACATCATTTGAGAGAACTGTTCATTCCTTTCAGGGCCTGTATTTAGGCTGTGAGGGTCTAGATTTGTTATCATCCAATAACAAATGTGTAATCACTGAATTAAAGCTTGTGGAAGCTACATAACTAGAAAAGGTTGAATTCCCATCAGACCTATAAATTCACATAGTCCTTGAGTTTATTTCAATATATGCAGTCATTTATTAAATAAAATGGCATACTAATATTTTATAGTTTGATAAATGTAATAATGAGTCCCTTGATAGTAGAATTAAATAATATAGAGGCAGAGTTGTTCATTAGCCTATTTAACAGTTTATTAACATAGATAAAAGCTGTCCAGTTAACACAAATATATAATATTAAGCCAATATAAAATTTCGAGAGGATTCTTATTGGTTCCTTGAGACATAGGTTTAGGATTGTATTCAGTTTCCATCATCCTGATCCGTACC